TGTCTCTACCTCAGGTTCATGTTCAGCTCATATACCTGTCTTTTGTTTGGCTGGAAACCACAGGTGTGGGTTCAATTCCAGACCTGAAGGGTAGCTAGGGACCATAGTCTCAGTGGTTCCACCAGGCTCTGTCAGACCAGCAAACCTCCCCCTCCCCCTTTTTTTCCCAAATGATTTTGAGTTTTGTTCCACATTGCTCTCCCTCTCTATCCAGGATCTCCTACATAGATCCTCCTCCGAGTGATTGACACCTACTAAGCTTTTTAATTTATTCCCTGTTCTGAGTTATAAAGCCTTTTAGTTTAGCCAAATGAAATTGCATTCTCTGTTATCTAATTTATCTTGCAGCTAGTTGAAAAACTGCCAAAGACACTTCAATTTCTGTGGCTGTAAAGATGAGAAACTGATCTTAATCTGAGCATAGTGGGCAAGAAGGCAACTACTTATCATATATTCTCCTTACAGTTTTTGTTGGTGCTGTTGTTATTTAGCCCAATAACTTGTCTCTTTGAAGTTGCCCTCTTTAAATCACTAACCATGTTCATTTTTAAAAATGGTAATGATATGAAATATGACAGTGTTGAAAAGCTAAAGTCACAATTTACCTGAAAGTATATGAAAAGCTTTGTTTTAAAGATACCCTAAAACCTAGCAATTCTCTTCCCTGAACATTCATCCAATTTCAAGGTCATTCTTATTTGATACATTTTAAATATTCTGTGAAATCATGTTGTCTTCTTGGTCAGTATTACCTAATTCTCTTCATCATCCATAGCTGTGGCTCTTCTAAATCGATGTACATAAGGACCATTTAGAGATTTTCTGATTTAATGTGTCTGGCTCATAAATAAGATGCTAACAGTTTTTGAGTCCCATGCTGACATACGAAGCATTGTTCTAACTACATTTTGATTGATAATTTATTGTTATTTTTTTAACCAAATGTGTACTATTTATTAAAAATTCCTATGGGAAAATGTATTTTAGGAGATGTGAGTGTTGGAACTGTGTGTCAACTTGGCTGGACCACAATTCTGTGTGGTTTGAGCTGTTGGTGTTGTTGTTCCCATGATGGGATCAGATGACTGTGTTTTGAGCGGCCAGTCTGTTGAAAGGGAGTTTCCCTAGGGGTGTGTCCTGCTTCTAGTATATCTGTGGACATCCTGGGAGAGGAGACATTCTTCCGTGGATTGGGATTCTGTTGTGCTGCCTACAACTGTCCGTGAGTGAACAATCCACCATTCGGCCTCGAGATCTTGGATTCATCATTCGTTGGAGTCAACAGCTGGTGTACTGCCTGCCAGCTCTGAGGTCCTCAGCCCCTGTAGCTGCAAGAGTCAGGAAAAGCCTCCAGCTTGACGTGGAAAAGCCTCCAGCTTGATGTTTGATCCAGGAACTTTGGACTTGCCAGCTTCTATAAGTGTGTGAGCCATTTTCCTAAGATAAATCAATCAATCTCTCTCTCTCTCTCTATATATATATATGTTGTTGTTGTTATAT